TCCGTGCATTTGTTAGCTGCCTTTTAATTGTTCCATCTTTCCTTTTCTCCTTTTTATTTATCTCTATGGCAAACTACTCAGGAATTTAATGTGTTGATCTTTAAAAAAGCAAATTTTGCCATTCGTTTTCTTTGTATTAAAACTATACTCAGCATGTAATTTTCTTCCGTAAACAAGTATATACTAGTACTGCTATGAACAATTTTAAGTAACAGAGCACAGGTTTCATAAGTGACCAAATGGTAGGGTAGCTGTAATAACACAGAAATTATTTGTTGGACTGTCATGATACATATGACATTTAGCTACAAATCAAGTAACGAAAATGCAGATTTTTGGCATTTTCAAGATTAGCACACCATAAGCAGATGTCAAAACAATAACAAGCCCTGTAAGCAAACACAAAAGAGTGAGGAGTGAGCGAGCTCTGTCAGTTTGTGGAGAGCGGTCCCTCTCTACTCATTGGAGATTTCACTCTTTATTAAAAGATGAAATTCCTGTGAGAATTAGAGACGAGGACAACGCCTGCTTTTTGGCACCGCCTGTATCCCTGACGGGTGGGTCTTGAATAAATGATGATGCGATACACCAGTTGAAACAAAAGCAGCTCGGACCTGTCATTTTTGTTGTGAGCAAGTTGCTGAGGTTGAATGGTGGGATTTTTCCTAATCGTTGGTGAACACTCTCAGGTCAAACCCTAAGTCTGGAAAACGGAGCTCCTACTGAACATGCGGAGTAATAGTTAAGCCCAGCCCTGAGCATCCCGAGCCAACAGGGCTTGACAGGCGGGGAGGGGCCACAGGAAGCTTCCCAGCCACTAGAACAATGTGGGACGCTTTCCTTTTAGAGATTCAAAATTCTGTAAACAGGAAAACTTCGTGGATGACAGGCACGTGAGATCCTTAAACTAAAGGCTGCCCTTTAAGTCCCCGTGGTTCTCCGAGACCTCGCTGCCTTTACGCCCACTTCATGACATAGAGCAACTTAAAATTAGTCTGACAGATTTTCAATTTTTAAAAATACAATTATGTTTTAAAACATTTCATATTAAGAAAAATTAGTTTAATATTTTCTAAACATTAAACATTTTTAAAAGTAAAAATCAGTTTCCTCACTAGAGACTCAAAAGCTTAACTAGTCAGTGAACAAAAAAAGTCCACTGTTTTGAGAAGACATATTATTAGGATTTAAAAAAATAAGTGGCCTTCGTTTGATAAAAGCGTTTTCTGGTGTAGCCCTACATCATGAAGTACAGGAGTAAAGGCGTGAAGTAGGGTAGTGGTGTATCTCGAAGGATGATCTTTAGAAACTGGAGTGAAGGAGTGGAGTGGAGTGGAACATCCCACTCGGACTCACCCAGGGTTCTGGACATCACAGGCAGAGCGGAGCTCAGGACCAGCAGCGACACGCAGTTCCCAATGATCTGCCAGGAGACACAAGAGCAGCAGGCGGTCATGCAACGGGGTGATCAACAGAACCCATCCCCTCTGGGAAGCTGTTCACTCCAGGTGCCTACTGCACCTTGCTAACTTCTTAATCGTACTCTTCACAATAGAATTTAAAACTAAGAAGAAACTGCCTATAGACATTTAACGTGCTACCTGTATGTTCGAGAAAATACTGGTAGTGCCTGGCACAAATATACAGCTACAGAACACTTAAGTTACTTTCCACCTCAGACAATGCGTTTTACATCACTGACTGATGTTGCCAATTTCAAAACAGCTTGCTTGTCAAGTGAAAATGAATTAATGCCTAGCCCGGCCAGCCAGGCTCAGTGGTTGAGCATCAACCTATGAACCAGGAGGTCATGGTTCGATTCCTGGTCAGGGCACGTGCTCTGATTGCAGGCTCGATTCCCCGTGTGGGGTGTGCAGGGGCCAAGGATCAGTGATTCTGTCTCACCATTGATGTTTCTACCTCTCTCTCCCTCTCCCTTCCTCTCTGAAATCAAGAAGAATATATTTCTTTAAATAATTAATGCATTTAATATCTGACTCTGTTTTTAAAGTCAACTACTGCTCATAATTTATATAAGATCTATTTCTAACATGTTGTTGTAAGATTTTAATATCAAAAAGCTCAAAATCCAAAACACATATATTCCAGTCATTCATTTTCAATGTACCCTATGCTTATCTATAATAATAAAAGCATAATATGCTAATTAGACCAGACGTCCTTCCAGACAACCTTCCAGATGAAGCCAGGGCTGCGAGGGAAGCCGGTGCCAGCAGCTAGGGGAAGGAAGGCCTACTCTTGCTCGAATTTCGTGCATCGGCCTCTAGTTCTTTCATCATAAATAAGAGCTGGAAATGCTGATCAGACCTGTGATCACTTAAGCTACGCTCAGAGTTTCAAAAACTCACAGTGTGTTAGGTACATCGAGAGATGAATAGGAAATAAATATCCTCTTAAAATAGGATAACAATATGGAATATTTAATAACATAAAAGAAGCCCACAGCTCCTGTAGTTGCGCTCATTTCAGCCGGTGGGAACATTTCACAGAGCAGCAGCCATTGTGCCACAGCCTGTGCTCTTCCCGTGGCCAAGGACATATTGTAGGAAGTCAAATCAGCCTCAGATTGCAAAATGTTTCTGAATAGGCCTCTTCCGTCTTGCTTTAATTATTCAAATTTGAAACACTTTGTCTCCACTACTTGTAGCAACAGAGGTTCTTCAGATCTCAAAGAAGCTCCCTGAAGTGCAGTCAGCACAGCCCAAGTGACTCATTAGCGGAGCATTTTCTTTGGAGGAAAAGCGTCTTTTCAGAGCCTCTGTGCCAGCTAACAAGCTAGGCTCCTCCGCATTTACAAGTGAATGGACGTCGTCCAAGCCACACAGGGCACACACTGGCAGCTCCCACCCGAAAACCTTCCAGTTTGTGTTTGCGCAATTTACAAATGCCTCTGCTGCGGGGGAAGCGTGCAGGGCGATTACTAAATAAAGCACACGGGTTGGCTTGAAGGCAAAGGGGAGGCACCGTCGCCCGAGACTTTACCTTACCTTTGTCATGGTCGTGTCATCCTTTTTAGGAATAAAGTCTCCAAAAAAGCGGAGGCTATAGAAACCGACGACAGAGGACACCATCAGATAGCTGTGAGAATCAAGGAAAACACCTCCAAAGAATGTGAGCTGCCCAGTTCTCAGTAGTCTCCAAGTCTGAAGGCCCAAAGGAAACTCAAAACAAAACCAAAAGCCACTTGGAGTGCCTGGGGAAGAATGCCTTGTTTTTTCTCGGGGCAAGTGTCTTAGTAAATTACCACTGTCCCAGAAAACTGGACAGAAAACTTGTTAACAGACAGAGCTTCAGTGAAAGAAAGGATACAAAATCAAAATGATTTCAAGTGCCGCTCCCACAAAACCAAAAGCTGAGAGCGAGGCATTTCCTATCCCAGGCCCCTGGGGGGAAAAACACTTTTCAGAATTCAATGACACTATTATATTTGGTTTCCCTAAAATTGTTGTTTCACAAATATAGGACAGCTGAAATTAGGAACTGGTCTAATAAAACTTGACATTAGACAGAGTTCATCAACTAACTCAACCACATGTTAACAATTTTAACAGGCTCAAAATATTTCTGATTTATTTCAAATTTAAGTTACTTATCAAAATAATATGAGCATTTTGTGAATTCTTCAATATGCTTGGAAGAAATCCTTTAAAAATATATCTATTAGGACTACAGGGTGTGGACGAAAAGGGGCCACAAGCTAACCTGACTAGCTCAGGGAAGGCCTGCGTGGAGGCCTTGCTAACTCAGGGACTTAAAGTAACCAGAAAGGATGGCCTGAAATTAAAACTTTTTTAAATTAAAAGATTTATAGTGGGTAGTCATGTCCTAGGCCAGTATCTTCCCTGACAAAGATCAACTTTCATCTTTACCAAGCCTATTGTCTTTTTGCATCTATGATAACATACCTGTGGAATGTCAGGGTAACTTGTAACTTCCCTTTTTGGGGACCCCTTAGGGCATGACCAATGCACCAGGATGGAGACCAAAAATTCCCTCATTGTTACTGTTATCAGGTTAATTGCTGACTGTTAACTATCCTGTACCCACCAATGCAAAAGAAGCATGTGTCTATCATTTCACTTTATGTTTTTGGGAAATCGCAGGGGTCAGCACATCTGGAGTGCAATGGGTAAGCCTTGCCCTGGGGAAACCAGCTTCCTGATCATGGTAGGTAAATGTCGATCATTTTACTTTTCCCCAATCCCAGGGGTTCCCCGCTTAGCTTTCTCTCACCTCCCTGATCACCAGTGGATTTCAGGTAACCCACTTACAGCTCCTCCTTGAGGTAACCTGCAAAACTAGGTGAAAACCCGCCATTCTCAGGAGCATTATCCCAATATGTTGAGGTTCTGCTTCCCAGCAACTGTCAACAGTTTGGCTCAAATAAACTCACAAAAACTCTTTAGAGGTTTGAATGTTTCTTACGCTAACAAGGGCAATACAATCCTTAATGGCCATTTCCCCCAAAAGGAGACAAAGACCAGGAAAATGATGCTAGACACCAGGAGTCAGACCATACAAGGAATTGAAATTGTCCTCAAGGCATCTGATCACTCACATGCATTCCACCCACATTCCAAGCCCACGACTCAGCCCCCAAAACCACTGATGACAAGTGTCCTGCCAGTGACTATGTATAAGGATGACACTCAGCTCCTGGAGCTGCCATCATCACCCCAAAGTCCCCTTGGCTCAGTGCTGTGCAGCCCTTTTCTTAAATAAATTCAATTTTCTTTAATCACCCTCAGAGGTGGCTATTTAGCCTTCCTGGACAGACCACCATGCTAACCTTCCATGCTAACCTTTCAATAACAGTACAATAGGGATAAAATATATAATTATCCAAACCCTGAGGCGACATATAAAAATTATACAATTAAAAAATGTCAAAAGTAAGCTAAGCACAGAAAGAAGGTGAATGTGCATACCCCGTTTCTAGCCCTTAGAAATGTCCTTTCCCCAAATCTTCCTTGGAAACTTAGGAGTTTTGAAAGATATAACTTAATAAACCCAGATTTTAAAAAATGTAATGCTATAAATTTTTTCCTAAACATTGCACCTATTCTCAAAAACTATCTTTATCTAGGACTCAAAAAACAAACAGAGAAGTAGTTTTATCAATGAGACCAAACAGGAGAAAAATTATTTCTTAATGAAGTAGGAACAATATTTCCATAGCTTATTAATTAAAGCAACTATATGAATATGAATGACTTATTTACAATCAGCTTCTATTACATCTAAGAGAAATACCAGGATAAAATAAAATGTATAGTCACACTAAGAAAGCAAAAACAAGAAATAATAAATATTTTCTATACATTCTAACTTAGGCATAATAAGCATACTGACTGCAAAGGGACTCGGGCAGGCTGCCCCAAAATAGGCCATGGCGGCATGTTGGTCATTTCAAATTAGTTGCTGGAGAACCCGCCAGTACAAGAAGCACACTCTGGCCTCCTGTTCCCCTAACACAAGGAACAAAGCTCCCTGTGCCAGAGAGAGGGAGTTCAGGGCTGAGGTCGCTATACAAACAAACTTTGTTACTTCTTCAATTAAGTCCCTAACCCAAACACAAACTCTCTGTTTTGTGCAATCTTCATAAGTAACTGTTTCTTTGTCTAAGAATGGTATACATATTCCCTGCTTTGATCATTTCTTGAGATCTCATTCTATGGGGTCTCCTTATGTACTTATGTAATTAAATTTTATTTTCTCCTGTTTTTCTGTCTCTTTGTCAATTTAATTTCAGACAAATGAACCTAGAAGGGTAGAAGAAAAAAATTTTCCTCCCCAACAACTGTGATAAAAAACATTTTGGAACTATTCCCTGTCTTCAGAGGCCTACACAGGTAGGATTAAGGTGACCTGATTTATTTACACAATCATGCAAGGAGCTTACCAGGTATAAGTCCCTCTCTACTATGACATAAGATTTACTCAGTATATAGTATATAAGAATGGGTTAAAAAGTAGCTAGAAGTCAACACAGTAGGTGACTTCTTGCTCTTATCAATGGGATTGGGAGTAAACAAAAGACGAAGCCCGGACTGTAGGAGGAGGCTGGCTGTTGCTGCTGCTTGTTAGTGGAATGAGGCACCTGGAGCCTGCTGGTAGCTCACACTGTGCAGAGAGTGGCAGAGACAGGTGGCACAAGGGACAATGGTGTGAGGGGGGATCTAAATCGAGAACTAGGGCTGAATGAATTAGCTTTGGGAAGAACAGGGTATCTTCATCATAGACCGAAGGGAAGGAATTAAGATAGACAATGGCTTTTCTCTATGAGAGAACAGGTGTTTTAGAGAGAGAAGGGCATCAAAAGTCTAAAAGTTTTTAAGTCATTTCTATGGGGAATGGGAAAGTGGCTGACTTGGAAAAATATAATAAATGTCAAAACTTAAATGTTACTTTAAGTATGTAAAAGTATAGAGACATCTAGAAAAAACTATGTCAACTATGAATATTTAGTGGTAACTACCTTCTTGATGAAAATATATTCAAATCAGCTAATTGACAGATTTTAATAAAATCATCAATCTTATAACAAGAGAAAATTAAGTTAACTCATAAAAAGATATACCTCTTACTCTCGCCAGTAACTGAACATTTTGACTCAGTGTCATAAAGTGTAGACTCTCCTGAAGTGGGACTCCCATCAACCACACAGTTGCATCTCTCACAAACCCAATGAACCCATTTAATAAACTCTTCATATGTCACTATTTCAGAGTGTACATTTTTTTAAAAAAAATCAAAAGTAATGAATTTCAGTAAAACAAAGATAAACTCTGATATGAAGTGTATCTGATTTTTGATAAAAGGCCCAGCCAATCCAGATACCAGAAACAAAACCATCTATAATCTATATATATAAAAGCCTAAGTGACTGTCCGACTGGCCAACTGGTACCTATGACGTGCACTTACCACCAGGGGGCAGACGCTCAACACAGGAACTGCCAAGCTACTGTGACTTAGCAACTGCGGTTCTCGGGTGATGAGCCCGATTCTGGGGTGTGTCACCCAAGAACCACCCTCTCGCAATCCAGGACCCCTCGGGGATGTCGGAGAGCTGGTTTCGGCCTGATCCCCGCAGACCAAGCCGAGGGACCCCGCCGGTGCACAAATCCGTGCACTGGGCCTCTAGTAAAAGCATAATATGCTAATTAGACTAGACGACCTTACAGACAAAGCCAGGGCTGCAAGGGCCGAGGCAGCCGCCATGGCTGTGAGGGCTGAGTCCCTTGCAAGAATTTCATGCATCAGGCCTACAGTAGTTTATAAATGCTATTTATGAAGGCCCCTTGCATAAAGAAATTCACACAATGTAAAGTATACGCATACAGAAAGGTGACTTTAACTGGCTTATCTGAAGCACTCAGGGTGTACATGCAGATACTCTTGCAAAAGAAAGACATGTTAAACATTCTACTTTACCCTCGTTCCCTTTGGCATTGCTGTTTCATCAACCAACAGGCAAAGGATATTACAAGCCACCAGGAGGACCGAGATGGACTACGACACAAAAAGTCAGTTGTCAGTTCTACATTTCAAAGACATTTTGCCAATACATATATATTAAAATCTAAGTGGCCAACCAACTGTATGCTTCAGAGGAGAGAAAAGTAGTCCAAACAAAAATTCTACATAAAACCCTAACGCCATTAGACTGTCTACAAAACCCCAGAACAAATTCTAAAACATTCTATAAATTATTATGATTTCAAAACTTGTGACAAACGCTAATAACACAGATCCACTTATTCACTGATCTCACTAACTGGAAATCCAACCTCCCCCCACCCAAGTTACAAATAGTTATAATCCATCAGAACTGGCTCCCTGACGCCCACCCACAGCCTCCCATGAGTCTGACAGTGTTTCCAGCACCTCCTCTGCTCTGCATTTTCAATGAAACAAAGAATGAATTTCCTGCTTTCACGAAGAAATAGATAAGCTTGAGGACTTTTTAAAAATTACTATTCATTTCTATTTTGGTTCTATCAAGTTTTTGCACATAAAAGCATGGATGCATTTTAATCTTACTAATAGAAAACCAGTTTACCTGCACTTCGCTGAGGGAATTGCCATATTCAAACAGCAAAGTAAATATCAAATAATTTGCTTTATGCAACCAGGCAAATCAATTCCTACCGTCTCAATGAGAAGGAGAACCATGACCGCAGGATACACCAAATTTCTTTCCCAAGCCGACGCCTTCTTCCGCCTCTCTAGTAGGAGAAACAACACAACAGAAGATTTCAGAAATAGCCCAAAATCCTCTCCACATTTCCATTTTTATTCCTTACTACTATAACCAGAATGCATTATTTTTATATAATTTTTAAAAAACACAAATTATTTTACATTTTCCTCCACAAGCCATAAAAATCAGAGATTTAGATTTAGTCTGCTACATTAAACAACTTAGTCCTGTGATGCTTAAATTTTAGCTCTTTAAAGGCATTTCAATTGCTAATGAAATAAAATGTTAATTTATAGCTTACTCTGAAAATATAGAGATATTTTTATTTGACATGGGTTTACATATTGATACAGATTTGAATGACTAAAGTAACAGGAGTAAAAATCCCCTCTACTCTCACATCACTCCCATTGCTAGAGGCTGAGAGCAAACTTCCACTTTGGGCTGCAAGGGGCTCCCTCACGTCACACTGTCTCAGGCCATAAACACCTGGAGAAGGTGGGTCAAACTCACTTTATTGAAAATCTGTATGAAGGTGTCAGAATCACCATGACAATCAACACTGAGGGGCCAGTGTCTGTGAAATGAAGGCACACTCCTTCCCCGACATTTTCCAGATGTAACTGCATGGACCCACAAGGCTGAGAAATAAGCAGAAACCAGTGGGTGAAAGAAAACCCACTTTCCTAAAGCAAAGCTTTCAGCAAACTCAGCAGAGCCAAGGAGACAAAAATTGAAGTTTGGGGCGACTGAGGCTGTCAGCACTTGAGAGGCTAGGATGACAGAGAAGAGGAGAGAAGAAGGGGATACCGATGCAGCCACTGCCCCTGCAAAGCTCAGCGCTGAGGAGAGGGACAGAGGGTGCAGATTGGGGTAGAGAAGCCAAGCTGAGCTCCATCGGGCTTATGTTTCTTGAAAGGTAAAACTAGAGTTCAAGGTTCACGAAGAAGACAGCATGACAGTCAACAACGAAACAACCAGGCTTTCAGGACCAAGGAGAAGCTATACTCTAGGAGCAATACCAAACTGGAAATAGACCCCCTAGTAAAGGCCAAAACCCAGTCTCCAACTATCTCAGATCAAAGGGATCTGTCCCTACTCTAACTGCCTGCCAGAAGCTAAAGGAAGTCCTTTCAAAAAGAAGAGACTATCACCATGTTTCTACAGTGACACATAAAAAGTGTCTAGCGTTTATTCAAACATTACCAGGAGGCAGAACAAAGGAAAAAAGAACAGAAACACGTTCAGCTGACCCAGAGAGTAGGCTCATCAGGAAGTGGCCTTAAAGTAACTGAGTAACATGCTCACTAAGACAAATGAGGGGATGGCAAATGTCACAAATTGAATCTAGAAAATCATTAAATGGAATTTCTAGAACTGAAAAATATTGTAATGAAAAGTAAGAGTGTGATCATTTTGATGACAGTTACAACAGCTGAAAAGAAGTGAAGGAAGAGCAGAAGAAAGCCAAAGACAAAAGGAAATCTAGCAGCCCTACCCAAGGGCACCGAGACGACTCTGGACGGCAGCTTTACAATGATGAAATTACCGGATGAGAGTTCAAATTCCATGTAAATGCCCCACAAACAAGAAAGCAAAGTCAAAATGTTTTCAGATAAAAATTGAGAGAATTTGTTGCCAGCAAACCAGCACTAAATGAAATACTTACAAATGTTTTTCAAGCAGAAGCCAAATGAACACTGGAAACACAAATCAGGGTCATGCAAACTGAACACCAAATCGGATGCCCTGAACTGGAACAAGTGGAGAAGTCCAGCACCGTGGATTGTTGGCAAGGATAGGGGGCAACAGGGAGCCTTACTGGTACCTCACAGGAATACAAAGTAACACAACTACCTGGGGAGGTTTGGGGTTATCTGAAAACATTGTACAGAAACACCCAGTGATCCTATAATTTCACTTGTACCAAGAGATATGTAGAAGAATGTCTATACCAATAGTATTCACATTAGCACAAGACCGGAAACATTTCAAGCATCCATCAACAGCAGGATGAAGAAAGTAACCTGCAGCAATGTAGTGATGTTTACGAAATGAAAATGATTGAACTGCATATATGATTTTCAACAACATAATATTCAACTTGCCCTTCTGAAGACAGAGTAACAACTGTCTTCGGGACCAGAGTTACTGTCCAGCCTGAAACAATTTAAAAACCAAAAAATACATGTATATGAAACAACAGTTTTCAAGCCTGGGACATCTGATCACCGAAGGGCAATGGCCTCTGAAAGATGGGGAACAAACCTGCAAGCCCTGTGTCTGCCCCAGCTCACTGTCTAGGGAGAGCTCCCAGGCAGGCCCTGGTGCAGGGAGGAGGAACCCAAGCAGAGCCCAGTTCCATCCATGAGTTGAGGACATACAAGGGGTCTGGAGAGACCAAGTCAGCAGGATTTTGCAGAGCCAGTGCCAGAGAAGAGACTATTGCAGAGAAACCCCAAGGACGGGAGGAGAGTAATGATCAATTCTGGAATGTGAAGAAAGCACCCGCGGCTGATGGAAGCACCACCCCAAAATGAGTAAAAGGAACAGCATACCACAATCACAAAGGGTCAAGAACCATGCTGCTCCCTCAAGACACTGGGACACTGGGTAGGATGTAGCAGCGAACTACTACTAGTAGCCCTAGACCAGTAGTTCTCAACCTTCTGCCCCTTTAAATACAGTTCCTCATGTTGTGACCCAACCATAAAATTATTTTCGTTGCTACTTCATAACTGTAATGTTGCTACTGTTATGAATCGTCATGTAAATATCTGATATGTAGGATGGTCTTAGGTGACCCGTGTGAAAGGGTTGTTCGACCACCAAAGGGGTCGCGACCCACAGGTTTGAGAACCGCTGCCCTAGTCGAAATGTCATTCTGGCCCAGCCTAACAAGTCTTCAAGGCAAGATCTGATAATATCAAACTGTTTATAAGTAACTTCACTGCATCCCAAAACAAAGTTCCTCACTTACAGGAATACAAAAACATTAGCACTGAACAATGCAAGATTCACAGTAGCTAGTACCCAAAGTTGCCATGCATGCAAATAGGCACAAAAATACAGTAAGTCAATCAATTGAAACTCTTCTAGAATAAACATAGATGTTAGAATTAGCAGACAAAAACACTACAAGTGTTATTAAAACTGTATTCCATATTTTCAAAAAGGTGGGTATCAAATTAGAGATGCTAATTAGACATGTGGAAGATATAAAACAGGCCTAAACAGAACTTCAAGAGATAAAAATGGCAGTGTCTGAGCAGTAAATACAATAGGTGGGATTAAAGGCAGACTAACACTGAGAGGAAAGAAATTAGTGAACATGAAGACACAGCAATACAAACTATCTGAAATGAAACACAGAAGAAAACAAACCACATGAAAAGTAAGGGAACATCCTTGAGTTATGGGGCAACTTTATAAGAGCTACTGTACATGAAATTGGAGTCCTTGGAAAGGGAGGCACAGACAGAAGAAGAAAAAAATACTTGGAAAAGTAATGGCAAAAAGTTTCCACATGAGATGACAATTATAATTTCTGAGGTCAAAAAAAAATCAATGAACCCAAAGGATAAGAAACATAAATAAAATTACTCAAAGGCATATCACAATAAAATTGTTCTAAATCAATGATAAAGAGGAGATCTGAAAAGAAGATAAAGACACAATAAAAGATAAAGATGACAGATGATTACTTGTCAGGAATACTGCAAGTGAAAAGACAATAGAACGACACCTTTAAACATCAGTTTGTTTTGAAAATTCATTTTGTAAACATGAAAAAACAAAACAAAAAGTGAGTCAATGCATGCTTATCCTCTCCCCAAATGGCTTGGACAGATTGAAAGCTTGTAACATAAACTAAAGATTTAATGCGCTTTTTAATATTTCAGACTACAGGAAAGACTTTAATAAGAAATCAAGTCAAGGGGGAAAATGTACCTAATTTTGTCTTAAAAATCTTTACGTTTTCAAGTTCTTGTTCCAGCTCCATTACATTGTAGTCCACTGATGAAGACAGTCCTGTGGAAAGCAAACATAGTTTAGAAGTAAAACAACAGAACACCTAGGAGAACAGGTGGCCCTCACATTCCATTAAAATATAAAAATAACACATTGCAAATGCTGACTATAGAGAATGGAAACAAATGCTGCTGTGATTCACAGAAAAGTACATACATTTTTAACCACTTAAAACGTCCATGATGAAACACTACATTTCCTAGAAAATGTATTACTTTGGTAAAATTCTTTTTT